CGAGAGTTTTCCATTGGGATCAATACTTGTGATGAACTGAAGAAATCATCCCAAACTGCCTTGAACATTGGGAAGAAAACCAGATTGTTGTAGAGAATTAGCTGCAGAAATGGTCTTAAGAGGAGGAGGAAAGCACGTAAAGGTAATAAAATAGGTATCACATGCAGGGAATAAATATAGAATGAAAGTGTGCAAATAGAGTCTGAAATAAGGATAAGACAACAGGAAGCTCTTCTGGCCTGCTGAAGCTGAGAGACATCGTGCACTGCTTTCTGGAGATCTGTGTGCTTCCCATCTGGTGACTGCCCAGACAAAATAGGAGAACCATCTGGTTTCCAGCTGGTCCGTCAGAAGGTGCCTACTGGGAGGCTCACGTGTTTGGTTGTGGAGCCTGTCAGTCCTTGCAGCCCAAAGACGGGACGTGAGGATCAACAGGGAAAGACAGAAAGAAGGGGGAAGGCAGGGAAAAGAGGAATGTGTACAGAGATGGCTTTTCTGCTCATGCTTAGAAACTTTCTGTGTTGTCTACCTGTTTGTGTGAGGGTGCATCCTTCTGGTGTCCTTTAAACAAGGAGTAATGGTGTAAAACCAATACCTGATTTTTAAAGCATCTAATATATGATCTTGCATCTATTTGTTTTAACCTGTGTTAATTAATGAGTGGAAATCGGCTTAAAAGACAGTCACAGAAATCTCAAGCTTGAATGCTGACTTCCCTTGTCTTTCCTGAAAGCATGGTACAAAAATTATTAAAGAAGGATCTGAACAGTGTTACTGAAAAGGATTACTATCCACTAGACAAACAGTAGCTGCCTGTAGTGGAGCAAGACAAAAATGGCATCTTGCAGATTTGACACAGTTTGCTATGAAGTCAGATATTTTGCTGGGAAGTTCATTTTTGGTTTATGGATTGTTTATTGGGTTCTTGTCACCTGCTTTAAACTTTTACGGAAACACTTAGATTCATAACAATGCTTAACATCCAGGATACCTGCTAACTGTTGTTTCAAAGGCTTAGTCTGGGATTTTTTTTCTTTCTTTGCTTTGCATAAGGAGTCATTAAATCATAAGAACCAGAAGGATTGCTGTGAAAGTCGGCACGTTCTGCTCTCCTTTCTGGTTCGGCATGGGAAGGGAAGAGCGAGTGGGGCAGCATCTGGCTGGGTCACAGATGGTGGGAGAGGCGATGGGATGGAAGCCCTAAACCTCGCTAGGTGAAGGGACGGAGCCGCCTCAGTCCCTAATGAGGTTTACTAAGAACAGCAACTGTGTGGGTCCTTTGACAGTCTTGGCAAGGGCCAAGGGTATTAACTCAGTGCAAGGATTGAAATAGAAATAAAGTTTTATTTTTAGCACCGGTCTCTTCAGGGCATATTGGAAACCTGATAGGCGAAGGGAAGTATCGTCATGCTCAGTGGAAGGGAGGCACCATGGTACCTGCGCAGTTAGCGTGATCGTGAGCTGGAAGGTGAAATTGGGAAAGTCAGCTTTATCTGGCACATTGCCTCCTGCAGCGGCTGGTTCCTGGTGTTTCCGTTGGTTTGTTTTATCCATGATACGCTTGGCCAGACACATAGTGCTAAACGGTGGTGAGGGTGCAGAAGGAAAACTGCTTCCCAAATTAGCTGACCATTTTATGTTCCAAATAGCTCTATTTTATTATGCATGAATGCAAATATTATTATTGGCCACATGTGTGGCTTGTACTTTTATGAATTTTAGCTGAAATATTTAAAGGTAGACTACTGTAAAATAAGCACACACATTATGCTGATCACAAATTATAGTTGTGAAAGCCTTTACTGACTACTGTGGGAGGGAAGCTCGGAATAGAAATGAGACTTAATTTGCCTCTAAGAGAATTTTCTTCTCTAGGAAGTTTGCTGAATGTATCCGTGAAGGCAACCCCCTGTAATATAGCATGTGACACAGGTTGTAGTGAAATGGTTGTTAACTGGTTTCCTGTTCTGGGGTATCCTAATTAATCACAGAAGTATTAGGCTTATTTTACAGAGATAGTTAGATTTTGTGGAAAATTCTTTTCAGTGAAGCTTTGCTCCGTAGCAGACTGCTACATTCATTATAGAAAACTAGGTAAAAAAACTATAGACACTCATGCCAAAAAACATTTAAATGTATTCAAAATTAAGATTCCTTTTGTCCTATTAAAGGAAAATAAAATCTGCATTTTTTTAAAAGGTTGCAGAATGCAGAAGTATGCAATTCCTTTTCTCTTACTGTAATAGAATGTGGATTTTTCAAATCACAGTTTCATATTGTAAATTTACCATAAAATTGACAAGGGCTGTAAAACCTGTCAGTTCACCTGAGACCTGGTGAAATTGAGTTCACACATCTTGGGGATGCATCTAATGTGATGGCTGTTCCCCTCTTAATAATCTTTTGTTCAAATCCCCAGGTCACTTTTAATTCTAACTTTCTGTTAGTTAAATGGATTGCTTCTGTGTAACAGGAATGTGCACTCTTAGTGCCTTTAAATCTGCTACTTTCAAATTTGTAAGCATGTTGTTTCTATGCAAATAATGAAGGATTGAAGCAGTGAACATAAATATTTGAACTGACGTACAAAAAAACCCTGACATACAAAATCCTTTGGCTAAGTATTTCTAGACTATTTTCACCTCTGTGTCCTTTGCAAGCTGTACTGTTTCTGTAACCCACTTTCCTGTTCTATAGAACCTCAAGTAATTTTTTGCAACCTTAATTAATTAAGATGAACTAATTGCTTTGCAGATGACACTTTTTTTAAATGAGTGCCTTCTAATCATGAACATTATTCAAGTGATTATTTTTTTTAAATGAATAAATAAATACATAATCCCCTACATCCATTATGACTGGTTTGTTGCAAGATTTCTAAGAGTAAAATAGTTCTGCAAGTAAAATAAGATTAATATTGTACCTGTTTAAATTGCAGCTTGCTTCTTACTGTAACTTTGTTACAGAAATTTTGATGTTTAAACTTTGAGAGTTGAGGCAAAATTCCAGTGTTGGTCATAACTAAACCCAGTGTAGGTGTAGGGTGAATTTATTCTGTTGGGCTCATTTCCCAGCTGGGCTGGGCTGAATTGGCGCAGTCTGCATGTATACCTCCTGTCTCTCCTCCCTTGCTGATGGAGACTGAAGAAAAGATGCAACTGGGTTTCTGTATTTGTCATAACTTCGAATGGTATTTGAAGAAGCTTATGTTCATTCAGCCTTTATGATCTACAAAGGTGTCTTTGGATATAAATGCCCTGGCTGTATATTTTTGCTCTCAGAATAACTTGCAGTCGGCTGGTTTTACTCAGGCTGTTTTCACATCTAATTGTGTTGAGAATATATAATTTTGTTGTTCTCCACTTGCTGAATTTTTGGGCCAGGTTCCCATCCATGTGACATGCAACGGTGTACAAAATCAGCTTTTTGACTCACTTTTGGTCTACATAATGAAATTACAGTGAGCCCTTTTTTAGTTGTTCTCTTTGCCAATTGGTAATCTTACCGTGTCGCAGTATATCTGGTCTCTGACTTGTTTGAAAAGAGCCTCAGAGATGTATGGGATGGAACTGAGGAAGACTTTTGTTTGGTGCTGCAATGAAAAATTAATTCAAGACATGGCAACAGCTGCGGGTGACAATTTAGAGTTGCTGAATAAGTATTGTAATCGGCATTTATCACTGACATCACATGGGATTAAATACTTTGAGATGATTGTTCTTGGGCGCAGCCTTAGGGAGGGTTATTACCATGACACAGCTAGTTGTCATGGCAATGCATGGAGAAGAGGGAGACTCTTCCTTCCTCCTTTGCATTCTGCACTACTCTATTAAAGGGAAGCCTGAGATCATTGGCAAAGCTGTCCTTGTCTTTTTTTAAACGTAGCACCAAATTCTACTACTCGTCCTTCACATTATGGTTGAAATCTCGGCACATTATGTGTTACTTCTGTGGATTGCCTTTTCTGTTTAAAACAGGCATCGACTTCTGCTTTCTCGTGTTTGGTTGATTGCATGGTGTGTTCCCTTGCATCCCCCGAAGTTGGGCTTTTCTGTAAGAACCAAGTTGATCTCCCCGTATCTGTCAGCCAAGGTTAGAACAAGGTGTCACTGCTGTAAGGACACTCGGGTAATGCTGTATGACAGGTTGCCCTGCCTGCTTTCCCTGTAACGCTTCCCCTTCACACCCTAAGAAGTGATCAGTTAAAGTGAAAGTTGATACCAAAATAAAGACAATCTGTGGAAAGTGATACAGTAAATTAGTCTCCCTGACTTCTTAATGGGTTTTGTAATTTAGCGAAATTAATTTTGCTAGCATTTCATTTCTTGTATGATTAACTGGGAGTCGTAGCCCTGCAGTTCAGTGTACTCACCTTGGTAAAACTCGAATAAGGTGAACGGGTCTCTGCACAAATGCTCAAATTACTGTTTTGGAGTCTAATTTATAATTAGAATTTATTTTTGAAGATCCAGTTTTAGAAGTATGTTGTAAGCATCCATTAATGGTTTACTCTATGCAGCTAATCTACTTTCTGTTTCATGTCATGAAGTAATGAAAGGTCCTCATAAACCTTTCCCTGCTTGGGTCTCATCAGAATATGATTCTACCAGTGCTAATCGACTCATATATGTTTGTTCAGCCCACAAATACACATGCAGTAGCAAAGAGTTTTTATTATTAAGTCAGACTCACATCTTTGCTAAATATTGCTTTTCTTCTTAGAAAAGTTATTTAGTAAGTTTGGGGGTTTTGAAACTCTGTAGTCCTTTGCTACACATTTTAAAACATAAGGGTTTGTAACTGTTGTTTTTACAATGAAAAGCTGTGCCAACTCTCATTTGACAAGTTTTTTCTTCTTACAAGTTGAGCAGTCCCAAGTTATTTAATAACAGGATCTACAATGTCAAGTAGAATTTTATGTATTTATTTTAGATATTTATTTCATGAGTTTTGGTTGTAGAGCTTTTCTTAATATGGAATGATTCTTTCTCACAGTTGCTGCAGCTCAAGCCATAGCAGAAGAAAGAAGAAGCCAAAGTGGTGTTAGCCCTATTGCAGTCCAGACCTCAATAAATATAAAGACAGCAACTAAACCAGGTATAATTATTGGTCATTGTTCTTAATGAAGTACTGGGTTCACAAGGGAGAGTTAGTAGGGAATGAATAAAACACTTTAAAAAGAAGTTTGATGTTCTGTCTTCAGGAGGCATCAGAGCATAAAGTATCTGGTAGATGTTTCATAGATTCATTGAAGGTCTGGTTTTGATGACAGACTTGCTCTTGACTCACTCAGAGTTCAGTTGGTGAAGTTGCCTATCTCTTCAGTGGGTCATAACAACAAAGATAAATAATTTTATTTTTTATTTTGTGCTCTGGTCAGGTTACTAGTTCACTTCTTGCTGAAATTCAATTTTTTATACCCACAAAGACTTCAGCAGTCTTGGTTCTGCTTAGCCTGCAAACTAGCTATCCTACAGTGCTTTGAATTTGTCATGACGGGTGAACTATCTGTTCTCAGATTGAGTTTTCCTAGATTCCTGTAATTCTTTATCATAGGAATTCTGATCAAGAATGAGGATCAGAGCTGAATTTGGAATAAGGGTATGTTCTCACACGTCTGACTTCTGTTCAGGCTTTCTTTTGACTGTGTGCATTGGGCCTTTTAATATTGTGTCTGCTTTCTGATGTACCTATTAAAAATAGTGGATTGGTGGTTGTGAGGGAATGGAAAGAGGAAAAAGGAGGGTATTCAGCTTCCTATGAATTTTTCAGATTACATCTTTAATCTCTGTATAGAGTGTGCAGTGCTTTGGTGGTATGCGTATCTCTCAGGAAGTTCCATTATCCTTTTGATAGTAAAGACTTCCGACCTTTTTATTTAAATTTGAATGTTAAAAATAACTGACAATTATGTGTCTTCAATTTTTCTTTTGACAGTGATAGATGGCTCCACTCTAAGAACAGAAGAAAGACAAAGACTGGCCAGGGAGCGTAGAGAAGAGCGGGAAAAGCAACATGGTATTTTCATGTTTCATTTAAAAAACAATTTCCTAAAATGTTTTTGTTGAAGGGGTAACTTACTCCCTTGATACATGTTCAGTCACTTTTTTCAGCTTGCTGGGGACAAGAGACAAGGTCTGCTCATGGTCTTTCATCAGTGACCATCTGTGAACCTGAATGGAGAAGTATTAGATTTGAGAGGAAAACATTCCAGAGATTTTTAGCTTCTTGAAGCTGTATGTCACTTCTGACCTTCCATTTCTTAGTCACCACCAAGCAATTTTAGCCAATTTCTTATTGAAAGCCTTAACAAAAACCCTCCTGAAAGTAAAACTTTTAGCTTAGAACTGCTTCCTGTAGCACTGAAGACTGAGGTTTGGGGAACGCTGATGCAGAGAAAACAGAAAAGATTTAGCTAGTTGAATGGCTTGATTGCCTTGAACACTGCTTCTCTTGTTTCCTAGCACACTGAAATGACTCCTGGATTGAAGTGTCAGCAGTATACACTTTATCTTGGCAAAGAATCTGAGACCCAGAGAAGAGCATAAAACTCTTGCCCAGCTTTATGCTGTTTGTGACGTGAATCAGTGCATGTATGTGCAGCAAGAGATGAAAGGGTCACAGTATGCCCTGCAGTCCTGGTTCTTGGTCTCCCAGCTTGTGAGGAGTGGTGTCTCTCTGGCCTGTATCTTTGTTTCTTAACATAAAAGCATAGACACACGGCAACAGGAATGATTGTGTTACCCTAACGTGGAGAGAGGATAGGACTAGGACACATGCAAATTCAGAAGTATTTTGGGGGCCTTATATGTAGATACTGCCTGTGCATTGTTGGTGTAGTTTTCTGGTCTCTCGGTTCATTTCATCTGTCTAGCTGCCGAAAATACTTCCACTATGTATTCAACCACTAGCTTTTTGTCACAGTATTTGAAGCTTCCTGTTAAACTGCACAGCTGTTCCTAGGTGGAGGCTGCGGAGAATAGTGACATAACTATTTTGAACTCGAATCCAGTAACTGTGGGGTTTTCCCATCTTGTCACTCAGTGCTTTAAATCTTTTCATTATATCTTGTTCTAAAAAAAAAAAGAAAATCGCAACATAGACAATTCTGCCTTTTGATACTCAACTTACTACTCTACCTACAAAGGCTTCACTGTTATGATGGCAAGAAAAGTATATGCTTAACGTAGGGTATATGCATATCCTGACATTCCTGTCTAGACAGTAGTCTAATGGCAGGAAAGTTTCTAATTCCAGCCTAACCTGGGGACAGGATTAAAGACTCCTCTGTCGTCATGTGCAGTGTCATCCAGCTCTGCAAGCTAATCTTGCTGTATGTTTTAGCTTTAAGTGATGATAATTTTGCTTGGTAGTCTCTTGCCTGTAAGTTGCGTTGTAATATCAATGAATAGTTAAGTTTTATTTTAATTTTTTCTTGAAAATTTACAGCTGCCAAAGAGACACAAATCCTTGAAAAGGAGAGGAAAGCAAAACTCCAGTATGAAAAACAGTTAGAAGAAAGGCAGAGAAAGCTAAAAGAACAGAAGCAGAAAGAGGAACAACGGAGGGCAGCAGTAGAAGAAAAGAGAAAACAAAAAATAGAGGAGGAAAAGGTACTATGCATTGAAGTTCTATAGTTTTAAAGAAAATCCTACATTGTTTTCCTACCTTACCATGCTCTGAAGTAACGTTAAACAGAAAGTTACAGAAATGTTGAATGTATTACAACATTAAAAAAAAAAAAGTCCTCATCTGTACAGTGGGCTACTGTTGTAGTTTAACCTCAGCCAGCAACTAAGTACCATGTAGCCGCTTGCTCATTCCCCCCTCCCCCAGTGGGATGGGGGAGAGAATCAGAAAAGTAAAACTCGTGGGTTGAGATAAGAGCAGTTTAATAGGACAGAAAGTAAGAAACTAATAATGATAATAATAACAACAACAATAATAAAATTACAATAATAATAGTAAAAGAATTGGAGTATACAAAACAAGTGGTGCACAATGCAACTGCTCACCACTCACCAACTGATGCCCCGTTAGTTCCCGAGCAGCAATACACCACCACCCCCCAGCCAACTCCTCCCAGTTTATATACTGGGCATGACGTCACATGCTATGGAATATCCCTTTAGCCAGTTTGGCACAGCTGCCCTGGCTGTGTCCCCTCCCAGCTTCTTGTGCCCCTCCAGCCTTCTTGCTGGCTGGGCATGAGAAGCTGAAAAGTCCTTGACTTGGTCTAAACCCTACTTAGCAACAACTGAAAACATCAGTGTGTTATCAACATTCTTCTCATATGAAATCCAAAACTTAACACTATACCACCTTCTAGAAAGAAAATGAACTCTATCCCAACCAAAGCTAGGACAGCTATACAGACATGTCCTCATTCCTCTTCCCAGTGCTAGCTTTAGCTATACTCGAGGCACTCAGGACTTCAGGAGCTATGGCTGCTATTTGGCCACTGGTTATTTTTCACATGAGCAAAAACCCCACCCCATATTCCTAGATTTCTAGATTCCTTTTGGCGCACTTCGTAGATTCTCCTTGTAAATCAGCGCGGCTGACAGGTCTTAGACTTTTCTTAATTCTGTGTCTTGCTTCCTGGGAGCCCCACTGTGGCCTAAGAGGCTCGCATTCTTTCTTTTCAATTACAGTTTGTAACTATATGTTGAGCGGTTAATAATGTTATCTGTATAGTTACCATTTGCTGCTTTGAACTGTGTATTGACTGTTCTTATTTGACTCTTTGCCTTTGCTTTGACTGCATATGCACCAGCAGAGCAGTATTTGAGTTGCGGAGCTCGTTGCAAATTGATAGAAGCTGAAAGTAGAAATAAATACATGAAGTTATGCTATCCCTTTTGAAGAGTAGGTCTGCTAGTGCATATTAAAGGTGATGCAAGTTCTGAAAGGGTTCATTTCCATGGTGTCAGCAGTAAAGACATGACACACACATGTGCTTTTATAAGCTAGTTGTAACAACTTTCTGTGGGTCATGGATGAAGAGCGTGTAAGCCTGGCCGGTGTTCCCTTGGGAGTCCAGGCTTTGTTACATTGTTCTAGCAATACATCTTTTTTACCCTTTTTGACTGGCAGTATTCTACGCTGGTGTTTGGTTATCTGTAATTGGCTTCTGGGTGTGTTCAGTTTGATATTCCATTTGAACTTCATGGAATAGTTTACATTGCTGGAGAACAAGCAGAAATGTTTTGGGTGGGCCTTGACTGCAGTCCACTGCAGTATCATCTCTTCAAGCAACTCCTTTAAGCAAAAAGCATCCCTTATGCTTCAAGAGGTGTTACCCCTAAGGCTATAGTACATTTATTCATGTAATTTTGAGGATGGTGGATATGTTTTAAGTGGCCACCGGGGTGAATAATCAAGGAAGACAAGGACTAGCCGATGAGTGATTGGTGTTAACCTCATCTTTTACTTGGTCCCTGGAGGAAGATGACCTTGTACATAGAGAGTTATACATGAAGAATCCGGCAGGTGGGAAAATAGCGTGCACTTGACCTATAAACCTTGCTTTCAACCAGAAAGTGAAAACAGATCTTGACTTTGGTACTCTGACATTAGAAAATAATCACTTTTAAAGATGCTAAGCTATCTTAGGGCAATATTTGCCATCAAGGTACCATCCACAGTTGTAAATTTAGTAGATGGAAGTGCATCAAAATATACAGTCTCCAACATTCTTGTTTGGTACTTCAGCCAAGTCTCATTTAGTTAATCATCTTCCTTAGATAAAGTAGAAACAGCAGCACAGTAGCAAATACTGTGGAAGAAGAAGTGATTCTCTGCCTGAGTCTTGAAGACAACTAGCCGTGGCTAGGATTGAGATACCTGTCTTCTCTCAGTTACTCAATTATTCTGTACAGCTGTGCAACTTGCTATGTTGATGTCTTGAGCTGAAAACTGATTTTCTGGTTTTTTTTGTAAAGTGAAGCCTATGTCTTTAACTGTGACTTTGAAGTATTACCGCACTGCGGATACCTCCATGGAAATATCATCTACAGATTACATAATGTCTGGGTACTTTGGCACCTTAGGTAAACTCTAGTTCAGGTTTCTTTAACAGAGAGGAAGCTAAGCTTTATATTTCAAACAAAAACTTTTATTTTTATCTTTTGTCAGTGAACGGAATCCTTCCTCCCTTCCTTGCAAGTTTACTTTGTCTGTTATACACTGCGATTTTTTTAGTTTGTGTTGTGAAATGGTGTTGAAAGAAGGTGAAAGTCTTGTGTCCTCTAGAGGGAGAAATATTTGGATAATGAGTCCCCTTGGCATCTTGCTGCAATGTATCAGCAGTAAATACTGCTTCAAAAGATCACTTGGGATATGACTATTCCAGAAGAGAAATCTGTTGTTGACACATGTATGGAAACCTGGCTGAGAAGAAAGTCTAGCATGGTTACAGTTCATCTTTATGCACAAGAGCTAAAGTTCCCCCATTAGCAGTTGCCAGTCCTGGAGACAGAAGCAAAAGCTTCTTTCAGTCTTCTTTATCCTATCAGCAGTGGTTGCTGAGGTCTGGAGTTGACTGGTCTTTTTTGCAGTTTTGCCTCCATGTCATCATATATCATCATATATCTATTAATGCCAGTATGTGCTAAGACTTGGGTCAGTGTTTGTATAGTTCTCTGAAAATACACATAACCTTATACTTGGTATTTTATAATGGAGAATTTTTATCACCTTTTATAAATAACTTCAGGATAAAATAGTTAAAAGGGTAAGTAATTTTTTTTGCTCAGTTTGGGGTTCATCCCTATTTAGAAAGTAAGTAGTGCTCTCTACTGAATAGGAAATCTGTTTGGTGGCTATTTTAAGTAAAGAGTAGAATAGATTATCTGTGCTTTAGCTCAACCTAATCATGTTTGCAGTGTTTTGAAACCAGTAATTGCCCCTAACATTCTTTGCATGATAGTTTTTGTAACAAGGGCTTGTTATCAGGCAGTATAGGTAAGAGATTTTAAATCATCCTGGGAGAAAAAAATATATTTTGTCTTCTGGCATAGCTGTGCTTGCTTTATATAGTTATAAGCTTCATAGAGATGTTGTTTAATGATAGGAGCGATATGAAGCAGCTATGCATCGTACCTTGGAACGGAATCAGCGACTGGAAACACGACAGAAGAGGTGGTCATGGGGAGGATCTGTAACTCCAGATTCAGAGAGCAAAACAGGTAAGTAGCACCTTTTCTAGCATGGCTGAAATGACAGAGTATTATGTGTGAACACTGGCAGGTGCAGCAGTATTCATAGGGACCTGGGCATCCTTTCCTATCTTGGATCGTACAACAGGATCTGTGGGTAGCTCTTGGGGAAAGAATCATATCTGTTCTTGCCCTGAAATGCTGCTCAGACTTAGAGCTATTTTTGGCTTTGGGAAGAGCTAGAGAGAAGCCATATGGGAAATACAACACCTGGCAGCATTGCATTGCCAGCCCCCAACCATCAGGTAAGGGGAATTGTAATGTATAATGTTAAAATAATTCCGAGTCCTTCAGATGCAGTACATGTAATGGTGTGCTAAGACTGGTGATAAATAGAACAAAAAAAATGTACTGTAACACTACATCCAAAATGTTTTAAACACACCCTTAGAGTTACAGAATGCTAACTTATTATTTAAATGACCAGTAATGGGTAAGGAGAAGCAGTGGGCGGTGTCCAAGCTTCTTGGAGAATAGGTTCTGTTCTAGATTAGGTGATGCATTTTAACACTTTAATTTGAGCTCAGATTTTTTCCTATTTCACACAATTAACTGTTTCAGCTTGTCAACATTCTGAAATTAGACCAGCAAATCAAGATTGCAGTGGAAGGGATCTTTTCATGCGCTACCTAACTGGAAGACCCTGCCAATAAGTTACTTAAGTTACTGTCCAGGAATAAAATAAAACAAAAAATGCTTTAATTCAGCCTATCTTCTGAATAGGTGGAATTGAACTGAGTGTGTTTTAGTAGTGTCATCTTCTGTCAGCATGAGTGTTGACTTAAAGTGTTTATTTGTAACATGTTTGAAAATGCTTTGATATAAATTATCATTGTGATATCCAGCTTCCCCATTTTTTTGTTACCTTGCATTGTTTGCCATTTGACCTTGTGACTTTGCTTACAAACCCTCTTCTTCTACAGAACAACAGACCACAGATGAAGGTGGAACTGGTGGTATTGATTTCTAAAATGTTCTTTTTCTGTCGTTTTACACTCACTACTAACCTTTTGAACTTGAGTTCTTGTTTCTCTGAAACTAAGGAAAACCATCTTCTTATAGATCTTTTCCTGGATCTTGGCCAGCTGTGCAACAAATGTGATCCCTAAGTAGAAAGCAGCCCCCTACGTTTTTAACTATCCCTCCCAGCTAATTAAACTACAGCTTAAGTCATGGCATCCTGAGGGAATTTTCAGGGAAAGGATATGTGCATTTGGGTTTTTAAAGATGACCGGATACAGCATGGGGAAGGAGAAGAGAAATTCTTAGTGGCGTGGTTTTGAATATAAATTAGTTAAGTAGTCTAAGCTTTTTTTTTTTTTTTTAGGGCAATTTTGAACTGTTTCATTGTTTCCTAATTTGCAAAAAGTACATGGTAGGGCTTGGTTTGTTTTCTTTTTGCTTAGTTTTACCAGCAATTGAAGTAATAATTGGCAAAATCAAATTATATTTTGCTGAAACTTTGTGAAAGGGAATGGGTCCTTTGTGCAGTTTGATACTTTTTCCATTAAGGGTTTTGCAAAATCAGATCTGTCCAGTTATCTAAACATGATTCTATACATCTAAATGTGTTTTCATTGGATTTCTGGCACTTTCCAGTGCACAGACTGAGCCATTCATAGAAACACGTTGGATCACTGATATATTTGTCAAGGCTATGTGTTTAATAAGCAAATTTATTTCTTGTAGCTAGTTTAAGATGATAGCTCTCAGCTGAGACCCTGCTAAATCTGAATTCTGAAAATCTGTGCATGCTCACAGCATTACTAATTCAATACAGCTGTCTCGTAATGCTGTGACAATATGAGACTTGAAAATGCAATGAAAGTCTGAGTATGATTTAACTACTGTGGCTTATTCTGGCAACACAGCAGAAGCATGTGTATTTTATTTAACTTCTCTCTTCCCTTTCTCTGCACAGCATGAATCCCTAATTTTCTCCAAAATTAGCCAGTTTGACTGGATTGGTTTACCTGTTTAACACATGTTCCTTGGATACCTATATAAATCCAATTACTGTATTCCACATTACCAAATGCCATTTAACCTTGAAACTAGGAAATCGCATTTGCTTTACATATTTAGAAAAGCACTATTTTTTGTCCTCCTCCATTCTTTTCTGTCTTACCTAATTTTAAAGCTAAACTTTATAACAAACATAATATTCTTTGCTCTCTCCTAATTTATGTGAGGAAATGAGTCTTGTCTGTCCTTTTGATTGCGGAGAAAGATCTTCAGTGCTGCTGAAGCACATTAAAAATAAAGTGTCTTCCAACAAATTGCTCCTGATGTAATAATAGGCGCTTAAGCTGTACCTTATGCATCATAAAGTAACAAGAAGAAGAACAGATAAGTTCAGCTACAGTAGATCAATTTGGATAACTTGGCACCAATTTTGAAAAAATTGACTATGGAAATAAACAGATAATGCAGTGTTTTACTAAGACACCTGTGTATCCACACTGTTTTAAATCTGTGTTTGATTTTATGTTGAGGTTTCAAACATACAGCTGTCTTACCTGGGGTGGATATTGTGGAATCATGATTGGATTTACGCTTCTCATATTTATTCCTGTTTCAGGATCATTCTTAGCTTTTTATCTTTCTGGGAGCTCCTCACTTAATTGTTATTAAAATCTACCCAAACCATGTAGGATGCCTAAGTCCAGCTGGCTTTCTAAAAAAAAAAAATCCTTATTTGGTCCCTTTCACCTTATGTTTGCACGAATGCTGGAAAGACAGCAATTACTTTTTTTTTTTTTTTACTCTGAAAAATTACACCATATGAGCTCTTACTACATTACATCATTGTGGCTGAGTGGTGCACCTTGTCTAACAGCACATCTAGAGCTAGTTTCAATGCAATATTATTTTTGCACCATCAGTTTCTGTGGCAGATTTGGGATTAAAGGCTCCATTTCTTAAAATGAAAACCATTGGGGGAACAGATTTCAAATATTCTTTACATTATTTTAGGACTAAAGACTTTCTTGTCCATTGTATTGCTGTGCAAAAAAATACAGCATCAGACATGTTCTTCCATGAACTGGCTGTGTCAACAGTAATATTTAGGAACATTGACTGGTAAAGCAGCATTTGTGGGTAATAGAGGTAGTGTGATCTGGAAAGTAAGCCCTATGTAATTGAGCATTTCACCAACCATCAGCCATTCTGTATTATGCACAGAATGTGATTCACTGAGACTGCACCAAGTACCCTGCTGATGGCCTGAAATTTAAAAATTGATGAAAGCCCCAGAGTCAAATGTTACATTAATGACATTGCTGTCAGTGCTAAGATGAAACATGCAGGGTGTGGGTCTGCCAAGAGAAATGGCAAGGCTGTCTAATATAGCATCCTTGATGACAGAGTCCTTGTAAATGAGGGAGGTTTAGTGATGACTGCTAAGCAAAACGAGATGTTCAGGTGCATCTGTAGTTGAGACATGTGCTATTAGAATAGAAATTGGGCTGCCAGAGTCTCTCCTTTCTAAATAAAGAGCTTCCTTGTCCTAGTAGAAATTTGGAAGGAAGTGAGAGACGGATAATCATATTTTGTTTAGCCTAAGTTTATCCAACCTCAGATAGGCAGTGCTGCAGCACCCTCTCTCAGTGAATCTCAGTGAGAAGCTAGGTTTGAGAGCTGCTCTTTCTTATAACGATTTTCTTAAGATACTGTATTTCCCAGCTCCTTACCCAATTGCAAGCCTTGCTGCATGGCAGTCATATGCTTTCTTTGGCTTTGCTGCTACAGATTGCTTTCCCCCTTCCATTAAAAAATACAATTTGGTATCACATGGGATTTGTGCTGTATGCTTCTTCCATTTCAAATCCCTTGATGTAAGTATTCTAACTTTCCCCTCAAAATACAAAAGATATTTGAGGTATTTTTTCAAAAGATATTTTGTAAATACCTATGTAACCAGAATAACTTACTCAAGAATATCCTGTCTGTCTTCTAAAGCTTTTTTTCCTAGTGAATTGTCCAAAACTTTAAAGTTTGCAGAAGCTGTCCTGTGGGTGAGGTAGGGAAAAAGTTGAGGCTATCTGATCATATATTTGCAAATATATTGATCAAAAAAGCATTGACTTCTTAAGATCTTAGGCAATTAATGCAAACGAAAATTTTCTGGACAAAGAAGACTTAAATAGCTGTATGAATACCCTTTATCAATTAGATTTTTTCTGTCAAGGCATCAGTTGAGATACTAGCTCATGCCCTCACCACTGCTGTTCCCCTGAAAAATAGAGACTGATTTTTTTTTTTTGTTTGTTTGGTTTTTTTTGTTTGGTATGAACAGTCATATTTGGCCTGTACTTTTTTCTTTTGAGTCTTCTGGTAGAAGTTTCATCCCTTGTCTCTCCCAAACAGCACAGCCCATCTCCAGAACTTCTAAGCTTGCTGGAAAAGAATTACTTTGCTCAGTGTAATTTTTCTCAAGGCAAGATTTAATTTTTTGCCCTCTGGGTCTTAGTAGGTGATGGACCAAATCTCAGATTTCATGCAAGAGCTGAAGTCCTAATTTGAACCAAGACAAATTTGTATGAAGCATCTCCACGATGTTTGGAGGCCTTAGACTCACAAGCTTGAATTCAGGCAGGAGCCAGGCTTTCTTTTCAAGAGCAGACGCTAGAGGGTAGTCTTTACCTTCGAAAACACCCAAATACATTAACTGCGAGTTTCATGATTTTCATATATAAAAATTCTCAGGGCTGTTTTAGTTACCCCAGTACTCAGGCTTCATTCATAAAGTGCCTTTTGTTTTGTTTTGTTTTGTTATGTTGGGAAAGTACCTGCTAAGCTCAGATCTTCATTTCTTAACTAGATTCAGTAGATCCCCCTTTCTCCCTCTTATCCCGTGGCAACTTTGCTCTTGTTCACTGTGACAGGAGCTTTCTGCTTCTGTAGCTTCAGCTCCAAAATCTGGTTTTTACTTGACATGGTTTTGAGAGAGGCCCCTAGCTCATGAAGCCTGGGTTGGGTACCTCTGTCAAAAGCATGATGCAGGGGCAGGGGTGTCCTTAGGAATCCTTATCTCCTGGCTCTTCCTATAAGGAGTTGCTATAGCATGCTGGCCAAAGGGAAAAGATGCTGCCTCTGTGGTGAGTAGTGCTGCTTTTTCCTTTGATACTTATGCACTAATGAGTTCACATTAATCATCTTTGCTGTCCAATATGCCAGCAAAATTGATTACTTGTGTTTGATGTATGGAATTTCTTGTGTTTATTATGCTAGTCTGCACAACTTTGTGTGCATTACTGTTTTCTGCTTATTGAGTTTCCATAGCAACAGGTACATGCTTTTCCAAGGCTTTCACACTCTGGAGTAGTGTTCATCCTGAAAGTACATTATTTGAAATTAAAAAGCAGGTATTTATCTGTATTGTAGTAAACTTGAAATTTTGCCATGTGAGATGTGATTTTTATGTGTATATATATGTCTGTGTGTATACACATACAAAAAAATAATGCTTCTTGCAGCAGTTTTTTTCAGAAGAGTTACAAAATTGATAGGAAACTTGAACTTAAGGACTACCTTTTAGAGAAAAATTGGAAATTTCTATAATAGTTACAGCAGCCCTTGGGAAGTAATCAGAAAAAGGAATGCTTTCTTGCCTTTCCTCATGACTTGCTTTTATCCCTCCAAAAGTATTTGTTTTGTTTTGTTTTTGTTAACTAGTGATTGAAAAACTGTTTTGACATACCTATGTGGAAGGAACAAAGAAAGAAATTATTGTTTTTCAGGTTTTGTTGTTACTTTTTCTGTCTTACCAGTCTGGTGACAACACACAATCTCAGTAGCTTTTGTCTTTACAAGTTAGGAGCACAGCGTTTAAAAATCACTTGTTTGCATACAGGTGCATAAAATCTTGGCATGGCTCTACTAAATTAAATGCCTGTTCTGTGCATGTTACAACTGGTGCTAATTGTATCACGTCTATTCAAAGGAAAAAAAATAATTTCTGTTTCTTATTAAGCAAAACTGGAAATAGCTTTCAGGATGTAATACTTCCAAAGTTCGCTCACAGCAACGTGTGAAAGGTTCTTCCTCAGGTATGAAGGTGAATTCTAAAGTAAGCACTTTTTTACACAGCCAGCAAGCGGTCCACCTCCACAGCAAACCTCAAACAGACAGAAGCTGTCATGAATAAACAGTTGTCATCATCTGCAGCGCTTTTAAATGCTTCTGATCGAAGTAAGTGTTTGTGTGTCTGCTGGTAGCAGGTGTACTGCTTAACTGTTATTTGGGGAGGAGACAGGAGGTGGAATGATACTCCCTTTCCTCCCTTGCTGTGTAACTCATTTCATATTTTGATCTCAAATGCATTTCATGCAGTTTGTTAATCCAGCTTCACTGTTCAGGGCTTTGACCCAGTTGATGTGATCTCTGTTAGAGGAGAAGAGTAACGGTAAAGATTGCTGGTTTTTTATTTTTTATTTCTGTTAATTGCTTTACTAAAGTCAAATCTTGGTGAATGATTGATTCGCAAATCATTTCACATCATAGTTACGGGTTTGCATGCCTTAAATCACACCCTAAAATTTCAGCAAAATAGAAATAGTACAAAAATAAAGTTTTCTTTGTTCTGTTAGACAGCTTCAGACACTTGATTGCCTTTGGGAAGGAGAAAATCAACTTAGTTTTGACATCTTTCTGTTGTGCCAGTCCTGTACTCTATAGACACACACTTTCTTTTTAATATTAGAATTCTGCTTTAACCAAATAGAGAAGGATGCATGAAAAACCCTGATACCTGTGGGAGTTTGTTTTGTTTTGACCTGGAGTTCTAGCATCATTGTAGCCATAGCGTGCAGCTCTGACACCGTTTCCTAGCCCAATAAATTAGTGTGATCTTGATACTGATGCTCAAATTACACATTTCTTAAACTGTTAGTGCACACCACTGCTTGCAAGCACTCTGGGTTACTTACTGTGCTGATGATTACCAAGGAATAGAAACAGCCTGGAAGACAACTATTTCTTTATTTTTATTTTTTAAGGGTTTCTGAGAGTGTTTGCACTCAGAGATCGTCTACCAATTTCTGTGGCTTCCAGTCTCATTTTGAATTGCATCTTTGAGGTGGATGAAGCTCCTGACTGTAGCATGTCATGTTTCAAATGTGCACCATGCAACTAGTCTTAACAGGGATGTAGAGAATGAGATAGATCTCTGGTTTTCCCACTTTCTGGTAAACCTGTACATGTGAATCTCCTCTCTGCCTCCTCCTCTTTGCCCCATCCTGATACATTCTGTAAATCATGGCAATCTGCTTTCTCCAAATAATTAAAAAAAAAACTATGAAACACAAGAAATTGTCCTAATCTACTTGTTAAGAAAAATAAAAACTATTTGCATGAACACATATCAGCTTGTTTTAGCCTGCAATTTCCTTGTGGAGAATCTTTCCAGTGTTTCATAGGAGCCTGCCTGTATCCCAAATGTCTTTTTTTCCAAGATGATGAAAAGAATTAATAAGCTAAGAGCTGTTTAATACAAAACCAAATTCAACTAGGTCTATGCTATAGTGTTCTGTCAATCTGCAACCTTTGATCAAATGAGCTGTGCTAGAAGAATCCCTAACATGGACATGATTTTGCTCGTTCATGTTGGAAGGTGATGCAGCAGTACTTATACACTGTATGCCTGGTAGGGAAATCAGTGAATATATCTATACTAGCATAGCTGCAGGGGCTCTGAGTCACTGGAGACTGCTTGTGATTTAAAATGATATTTATATATAATGTGTCTGCAGGGTTCAGCTCTGAGTGTGAGTCAGAAAAAAGGGCTGTAGAGTACAAATTAAGCCACTAACAAAGGAAGTCACTAATTATCAAGTCATGGGGATTGCTTTCAAACTTGCTGTCATACCTTGAAATCCTTTGTGAATCCTTGTTTGCTTTGGAGGAAAAATTCTCAAGTGGCCTGAAATACAAGAAATTTGGACAGGACTCCAACTGATCCATGTGATCAGGATGTAGAGGTCGACTGACTGGATAGTTTAGATCAGCATAGCAAGTTAGAGCAATTCTGTGCTCTTGATCTGGCACTCAAGAAGAAATGGCTGTTTGGTAAAAGATGGCTAAATTCAGATGACAGACAATACAGTCACAGAATTAACCAGACTGCTTCTGCCATGCATATGTGCCTGGGAAGGTGGAGGAGCAGAATGTGGAAATGAGAGGAAGATGCTTGTCCCTGGATCAGTGGAGTATTTCATCAGCTGTGCTCCATGTTAATTCTGAGCTCGCTCTTACTCATACAGAATGGGAGCAATGGCCTTTTTAAATTACTTATTTAAAAAGTTGTACAAGGATGGCCTCAATAGGTCAAACAAGAAGTTTGTCGAGACTGGCACCGTGCTGCTATGATCAGTAACATACAGGAATATAAGAAATAATGCTTTGTATAGGGTAATTCTTCCCTGATCCAGTTTTCCTCCTTCTGAAGGATTCATACTATAAAGTGACTTAATTACTCTTCTCTATCTTAGGGAAGTGGGGCAGGTGTTGGCGGGGACTTCTAGGCTTTTCAACATAATTAATCCATGCACTTTCACTTCCAGGTACCACAAAGAGAAGTGCCTCATTAAACAGACTGAATAACAAAGTTCCTCTACATTCTCAGCAGTCAGCACTCAAAGGTTCGCAGGTGGAACAGAAAGGTGCTAGAAACCAGTTTGTTTTGAGAATTGGGAGGCAGTAAATGGGATATTTGAAGTTGACTTTTAAACCATGTCCCAGTTTCATTATAAATGTTTTTACTCAGGCTTCCACTGCTGTGCATGTAGTCTATGCCCTCTGGCATAAATATCGTTATGCACATTGCAGTGCCAAATATTGGGTAACTGTGTCTGTAAACCAGCCTTATTCCTCTGAAAAGTGGAAGGGTGGGGGGAGAGTAGACGAATGGTAGCCATACCATTTAGTTCATGAGAAAATAGTGCTTCATAATGATGGAACTGTGGTTTTAGCTGATTGGCAAAAGCAAAGCATGGGAATGACAGTTTAGAAAATCATATATATAAATATCTTGTTAAAAATAATCTTCCTTACGCTTGGTCTCTAGGAGGAACAGAAAAGAAGAGGAGCACATCTTTGAATAGAATGAGTAGTAAACCCCAATCCTCTCCAGAACTAGAAAAAGTGAAAAAGGAAGAAAAACCAGGTGGTTGTTTCATAAAGCTGAATATTTCTTTTTAAAGCCATTCATAGTAAAGTTTGGACAGGCTTACTTTCACTAGTTTCCTTGGCTCTTAAAGTTTTAGGACTTTTTAATGGCTTTTTAGTTCTCTAGTGGTGAAGATAAAACTGTAAATGGTAAAGGTTAAATTTCTCCCTTTGGACAAAAAAGAAATCCTGTAAGAAGGACTTTGACTTTGTTAAATGGCACTCTAAGTAGATAGCATAATGTCTCTGCTTGAGAGAGAGATGTATTTGAAAGCTGGTAGGTTTAAATGTAAGACATAGTAAAAATGTCACTGATATGTTCACTTCTTAGTTAAATCTTACCTTTGCTTTTTAAGCTCTCTTTCATTATTCAGTTTAAAAGCAACTTCTCTGTTCCTGCTGCTGGCCTTAACTTTGTGCATGCAAATTAAGGAAGAAACCCGTTCTCACTTCAGTCTCTTTTGGTCTGTGTAATTCCCCACTAGGTTACGAATAACCTGTTTTCTAGGAACTCTTATTAAAGCTGAAGACTAGCAACTTTTCTAACATGTTTTTCCCTTTGAGTTAACAAATCTGAAACTTTTCTTTTTAGCAGCTATTGCAACAGTGGAAATTATATTCTGCTTCAGAATATTTCCTGTATGGGAGGATGATGGGTGCTGTCCATGTGAATTTGTGTGTGCAAATGATGCCTGATGATAACTGTTCGCTTTGACTTGCAAGTCTTCTGTTTTTTATGTCAGAACAGCCTTTCCTGCAACCTAGAGAATATAGCTCTGAGGAGCTGGATCAAAAACTTCTTGTACTTTGACTGACTTCAGCATTCAGCTCTGCTGTACGCCTGCCAGTCTTTGCACGTTAAAATGATTAGTATTAAGCAAGCCGAGGACAAGAAGTGCAACATAAAGAGATTGCGGTGTTTAACCCTTCTGTGCTTTTAGTTTGGATTTCCCTCTCCATGACTTCAGTATTTTTCTTCCTAAACTGTTATGATTTGCAACAATGCTCACAGTCTTCCTTTGCTTTGTACTGCTTGTCTTTTTCATTATATGATTTCATGTTGGATCCTTTTTGATTTGTTCTCATCGTTTAGCTCGTCGTTCCCAGCTCAGTCCTCTGGACAGTAGCGTAATCAGTCGCCTCCTCGCCCCCACACAGGCCTCCTTAGCTAGGAGTAAAAGTGCTGCTACATTATCGGCTGATGGACAAGATCCCTCAGGTAACAGGAGGGCAGCAAAGCCTGAAAGTTTTATGCAGTTGCTCTTCAAGCAAGAACCTACATGACAGTCACTAACTGTGCTACACTTCAGTATGAATCAGACAGTTAATATATGGTTATGTATAATACTACTTATCCAGTATTTTCTTTGGTCAGGAATAACCAATTCATATGCTATGTTGCATGTTTACAAAAGCATAGAATAATACTGGCTTTTAAACTCTAGTGCCAGTTTACTTGCTCTGCAGAGAACCAGATGCTGATGTTCATTTGTTTTGTTTGTGTTGTTTTGTTTTGTTTTTTTTAACTGACAGAGATCTGCATTTGGGTGTATCCTGAAGTGAATCTGAGACATACTGGTCAGAGAACAGTGCTAGGAAATGAAAGGGGAAAAAAAACCCAAACAAACATACAATTTCAAAGGAGGCTGAAAGGAATAAGTGCAAAGCCTACATTTCTTTAGGGGGAGAAACTCTTGTAAGGAACATGACAGAGGAGTTATCTTAACATAAAGGGAGCCCTGAGCTGGCTTCACACAGATTGATTGTAGAAGTAGAGGCATACTAGAAGGAGAAGATACTGTAGAGAAACCCTGGCTGGCTCAAGCAATTTTATATTGGTCCAGACTGAGCTGATAAGCCCACGCTGTGGCTTAACTTAGTACTAGTGCAGGAATCTGCATCATGGGGAAGCCCTAGCTGCAGCCCACATGTCTTATGATTGTTACTGGTTATAATAATGCCCCAGTAAATGCATATCTGGAACCAATGTGGAGTCCTTTCTCCTCTCCTACCTTACAACTTGCGTTCCTAGTTTTGTTTGTTTCCTCTTAAGTATGTTACTCCATCTTTATTTTTTATCTTATGCCGCTTGGTCCTTGTTGGTAGTGGTGACATTTCTACACTGCTCCCCATGTGTAATAATCAGTTTTTACTTTTTTGGTTTGTAGTCAATGGTCATATTTTTGCACACCTATCTATATGCCACTTTTATTTTACCATGAATATTTCAGGTCATGTCATGTGGGGAAATACCATCCTTTTTCACTGTTACTGACAGCATGTGACTTATTCACTATTGCTGAATTAAAGATAACTTTTACATTTTTATCAGTTTACTTAGAGGTACTTTCTTCATTTCAGTAGAAACGTACCTGTGCTTTAGCACAAACTATGCGCAAACAGAATGCAGTTCTCCTTGCACAAATGCTGTAGATATAAAAATAAAATGTATTTTCCATAAAGTTACAAAACTAAGTGCTGGCATCTGTCACAATTTATTCGAACTATAGAAGAATCCACTGTCTAGTTTCAGAGGTAGATTTTTACATCTATGTATGCTTATCCATCTATGATTATGTTAGCGAAAAAAAGTAATTAGAAGATACAATTTCTTTCTTATGTGTGAAGAGATTGACACTTCAGGTAGGAAAAGTATTTTAGATTAACAGTTGACCTCTTTCTTTTGATAGGTTTCTTTTACTTTCTATTTTTTATTTATTTATTTATTTTTACTTACTATTTCAGTTTGTTAATGTGGAGAAAGTGCACACATATATAGTAATAAAGAGGTCAGAGAGGGCAAGTATAATAAAATAATGTTGCACAAATGCTTATTTCACAAGAAAAGTTTGTAAAGTAATGCTTGGATTCCTAATGTAATGCTGCTTTATAATTAGTCTTTGAAAAGAAGGAAGATTTCCTCCTTGAGTATGGGGGAAACATGCTTAAAATTTGAACTTGTGATGAAGAACTTGTAAAGAAAGATGATAAGCCATTAAAATGGAACTATTTGTGGTTAGATGCAGCTTGACTAAAATTAAAGTAATGCTGGTGTATTGCAAATTCAGACATTTTTTGGAAAAGCATTTTATTTTTATCTACTCCAGACTGCTGCTTTCAGAATGGTTTTATTCTTGGTGCTGTTGCTTCCAAAGTACTAATCGTGTGGTGGTGGTGTCTGTGTCTGTGACCCATTGCAATGTGCACTGCCTGTGGCGTTTCTCTGTACGGTTTCTAACACACACAATCTTTCTTTCTCTCTTTCCCCCTCTTCCTTTTCTCCTGTTCTTATGCTGTGCACTTGGTTCTCGTTTTGTCTTGTCAAATTCCTAACTTTTATAGAATCTCACCTCTGTCCTCGTTCAGCTTCAGCCAGTTCCATCAGTTCCCCAGTCCCAACTCCTAAAGTGCCCGTGCGCAGTCGTAGCATCGACAGATTGAAGTCCTCTTTATCTTCATCTGATGCAAGTTCACCAGATTCAACCCAGGTTTGTTGAAAATCCACAGGAATTAGGTTTGTATTAATCAGGGGGTTTGGAACAGCTCAGGATGGGATCCTATTTCAGCAGTTTGCTTGCTTATTGAAACGTTCAATAGCTTTTGCTTAAAAAAACACAGTATTGAAATCAAATGGGAATTTTTTGGTCCTTGATCTCTCTAATATCTTAAAGGCATGTTGTTTGCTGCTTATGGTTCCCAAAATTTAATTTAGGTAACATTGACTGGGTCTGTGTTTTGGAACATAAAGGAAATGTGAAGTACATCTTGTTGAGAAGTTGTATGTTTGCTGGGGTAGCAGCTCTTCTGTCTGTAATGTATTCTAGAGAGCAAGCATTACTCTGTTTTTATGTATCTTCTTAGAAATCAGAGACAGAAAAACCGTCCCCAGGTTCTGGTTTAAGACGCCCTCCCTCGCCATCTGTGTCTGCCCGTAGAAGATCCCCCTCTCCTGCTAATTTGGTGAAGCGTCCTCCATCACCTTCTACAATTAGGTATGCATCCAGGTTAAATATCTGCTTTTATTCAGAACAAAATGAAGGATGCTTCCTGTCTCAAGACAGCTGTGCTGTTAGAATTTGGATGACCTACACTGCGCCACGTTTATACACATAAGGACTTCATTTTTGGTCTGATTTCTCTTTTCCACAGTAGGGATGCAGCTCTTGAACCTTTGTCTCTTTTGTGCAGACAAAATACACACTGGTTTTCAATACAGTCTGTGCACTATAACCAACAGGAAGCGTGCGAGCTTCTGAATAAGCTGATCTGCCTTTATTAGCATAGGAAGTTTCTTGGATTGGAATCACAGGGTTCATCCTTGATGTGGAGGTAAATAGCAGACCTGTTTTGATGTTAGCCCACAAGGAGCGAGTCCAGGTGCCCAGGGTATTTTGGAATCCTGTATTTGAGTTTTATGAGGAAGGCACCAGTAGTTTGTGGGTGGATTTATTTTTAAAAGTGAGGTACGTAATGTAAACTAACTAACTGCTCTCCTCAGTTGCGTGTTTGAGGTTTTCAGTGTTAGCCCTGAAAAATATTCTTTATTTCAACAGACAAAAGACTCGCCCACCTTCGCCCAGCTTGTCAAAACAAAGGCCACCATCTCCTACTCCAGTCTCTAAACCGGCACCTATCCAACGTCAGCCTCTCACGCCAGGTGTTATAAACATTACCAAAAAGAAAACTGAAGCAGAGAGCAAACCAAAGGATAAGAGCACGGAAGGAACAGGACAAGAGCAAGGTTCTTCACCAGCCTTGGACAGGGATGTGGTAGCAGCTACTAGCACAAAGACCAAAGAAGGTGAGTGTTTCTCAGTGACTGACGCACTCTTATTCGAGACATCTCCAGTGTGTGCTAGGACTGGTGAAATAATTTGTTTGTGAGGCAGACCACTGGAGGGTAGGATGCTTTAAGGCCGAAGCTGTTCATTGCTGATGATTTATACAATAATTTTACATGGGGTAACTTTTGGTGTGGATTTTAGTGCAGTAGTCGGTTTATTTGACTTGAAGATTTAAGTCAGGAGCTTTCAATATTACTGCTTGTACTGTAATTTTAAGAAAAGCAGAAATCCTGTTTGCCTTTTCAACTTCAGCCACAGTAGCTGAGGGATCTACTAGCTTAGGTTTGCAAAGTCAATAGTTAAACTGTGCAAAGGTCTTTCAGTCCAGTTGATAATTCTTAAAATTGCTTGTGTAGAGACCTGCTTGGAGGAAGAAATCAGCTACTGGTGCATCTCAGGCTGAGAGCGAGTTTTCACAAAGCTAGAAGGCTGCCTCAGTCTCAGTTCCAGTGAATATATAATCATTGCTGCCTTAGGAAAAAGTGGTCGGTTCACAGGTCACACTGAGAAATTATCTTGGTAGATTAAGGAGAGCCATATACCAGATAAGCAATTAGTCTCCTAGTCCTCTTCATCGTGCCAAGTAAGCACAGCCTCTGTCCTTCTTACCGGAAGAACACTATCTGCCATCTCCAGAACAGAATCTGGGAGAGCCTTCTGATGAGGTCTGGCAGGCACTTCTTTGTGGAGAAGGACTTAGGGGAGACTTAACGGGAAAAGGAGGGATCTCTGGAATTTAAGCTACAGCCAGTGGGCAGTACTGGGGGTGAAAATCCTTCAGACACAAGGTAAGTGGGAACATATGCTTGCTGCACGTTACTGCATGTACAGTTCCTGTTGTGCATTCCTCAGCTGCTGCAGTTGTCTGTTATTTCTGAGGCTCTTCCTGACACTGCTCAATGTTGGATGTGAAATAGTGTTAGTCAGCTGAAGAACTCATTTATGGTACAGTTCTTTGAGCATGTGTTCCTCTAGAAGGAAGCCTGGATGTCATAGTCAAATGTGGATGTCTGTATGAAGTTGCACATCTGTCTTTGGTGTCACGTCATTTATCTTTGCAGTTAGAATGTCCATCCCTCAATGTGCTACATTACTGTGACAAACGTCTTGCATGCCTCAAAGGGGGCATAATCATTTGTGATCAATGTCGTCAGTTGGTTGAAACTTCCATAACAATGTGTCCTATTTCTGTATCTTCCAGTCGTTCTGGAACAAGAACACCTGTCCTTGTTCCTTGGTTGTCCCACCTTTCTCCTCTCTACACTGACTTCTGGGATTGTATTAACCCAGTTTATCTGTTGCCATTTTATTTTATTGCTAATCTCCAAGCTAGTCATCTTTGTAACGATTCGTACTGGGGCTGGGTGAAGCTCTTTTTCTTTGACACATAGAAGATAAGGAAATAGTGGGCATGTTCTTCAACATAGAGATGATTTCATTTATCTCTTTGAATGTTTTGGTACACTGCAATATGGCCAAGTGAGGCAAAATCTTTGTTCTTAAAAAGAAAAAGTTGCTTTAAATTTTCAAGGCAATTTTCATTTTACACATCAGTGTAGGCAGTTCACCCTGTGGGTTGGTGCAATACCATATTCCGGCCAGTTTCTGAAGTCAGAGCACACCAATGAATGGCATGTGGCAAATCAGTCTCTAGGTCTTGTAGGTTCAACCTAATCTCAGTTTCGTGCACTTGTATCTTCATACCATCTCTTCTCCTTCAAACTAAACTTGATTGCCCATTGCTGACAGACAGCAATCAAGTTTTTGTCTTGTTTTTTGTGTCTTCCTACTAAAATATACTGTTCTGCAGTAAAAAGCTTTTTATTTTTCAGTGACTTGGAGCAGTTGTCGTTTCTGGCAGCAGCCTTTCGCAGCTTCTCTGAGAGTTAAAAGGCTTGTTTCAACTTAAAGCATAAGAAGTGCTCCTTCATGAGCTCTCACCTTATGCATGATGATAAGTAATAAACTATCATGGAGCCTCACTTTTTTGTATCTGGGTAGCGAAGGCTTTGGAATATGATTCCTAGATTAATTGTGAATAAATGACTTGCCTTGAAATGCGTTGGAATCTTCTCTCCATCCAACTAATAGTACATTTTACAATTGTTCTGAGACATTTCTCTTGCCTATTTCTCTCTTTCCCCTTCCATCACAAAAAGGTCCTTTGAGAAAAAGACAGTTCTTACCAGGAATGACAGTGGGACTACAACAAAAATGGAGCTGAGTATAAAATGCTGGAAGAATCTTTTTAAGGCATGTTAGCAATCATGTTGGGAAGTCCTGTGTCCTGCCCTATGGAAACAAACTGTATGAAGGGTGCATGGAGATGAAAGCACTATTGAAGTAACCACATGGAAAACATCAGTAAAGCTTCAAAAGTGAAAATGCAATGGGAAGGTCCCCCGTAGACTTGGAAGTCTCCTACCCTTTCTTTTGTTTCTATGCCCCCTGTTCTTTTCATATCTGTGGTGTTCTGAATCATTGTGACTAATTTTCTTCTATCATTTTCAATACCAGATATTCATCATATTTCAAGCTATCATTATCATGTTATAACCCTATAACCTAAAAGCCTAAAACTTTTAGGCTTCTTGTGGGGGATTAAGTTGTCTTATTTAGGTTCAGTTTTGAGGGGGGAAAATAGGTTTAACCTGACATTAAATGTCAACCAATTTTGATACAACAGAGATTCCAGTAGTGTTAAAACAGGACTGCCGCCTTGGTTGTTGTGCAAGTGCACAACAGAAGATGGCCTCTGCTGTAAAAATTGACTAGTCTAAACTGGCAAGACACTCAAGTAGTAGAGGAGAAGAGAGGCATTTTGATTTCTTCATGGTTATATACTGGCAATACTAAGTGAACCCTCGCTTCTTTTCTTTAAATAAAACATAAAGTTGTAAAATATAGGAAGAAAAGCGCGTGCGAATCTTGAGTAGGCAGATTCTGCTAACGATTCTTGCAACTGCAAAGGAGTGGTCTCTCCTGCTCAGGGAGGAGGAGGAGGAGGAGGACACCTTTTGACCGAGTTCAGATTTGGAACTGTTGTGGCTGATTCTTGGTTGTACCAACATGACTGCATTTTTGCCCAAATCAGAAGCAATGTCTGTTCTGGGGAGGTGTTTCTTTTTCAGCATTGGATAAATCTAAATATTAGAAAACATCTCTGTGACTGCACTCCATCAGTGCTGGAATGCTTTTCCTAGGACTGCAAGAAAAATTTTTATGCACAAAACACTGCCATGATTCAGCTGCTGAGGGTTTACTCTGTGTAATTATGCCCTACAGCTGCAGGTAGTGATTATGTGTCCATGAGGCTTAAGCAGCTTTTGAGGTATTAAAGTTCCTAATGATGGCATTGTGTTTTGAATGATTTGTCTTTAGGTCAGAGGCAAAATAACTGATCAAACCCTGATGTCATTGTTCATCAAAATTACCTTGACTTGAAGGCTTTATAAATGTTAAGCAAACATATATGTGCTGATTTGTGAAATATTAAAAAGAAGAAAGGCAGGTCCTCACCAACATTATGTTGCTATTGCTCTACTGACACCAAGAGCTAATTCTCTGAATATTCAGATCATGCGTTCTTAAGTCGCATTCAAACAGTAATATTTCTAGAGAGCGGGAATAACTGATAAAAATCAGAGTTCTTTCAATATATATTGAGAGCAACTGGATGGCAAGGGTTGGGGTTTTTTTGCTGATGTTAATTTATAATAGTATCTCTGATGTTCAGACACCATACCACCAGGCAGGACATGAAGAAACATAAACTGCAGGACTGTACAAATATCTGCTAACCTGGTGGTTGGAGCTGTTTTGATCTCCATGTATATTGGAAATTGATTTGTTGCTAAAATGTGTAGAAATACGGTATTACTGAAGTCATTAGTATGTGCCTTCAGGGCCAGATAAAATGATGATTATTTGCACCCTAAGATACTCTGTAAATATAAAGGCATGAATATTTATGTTAGGAAACAAGAGAAATTAAAAAAAAATTAATATTTCCTCTTCAGGGTCATGTGCGTTCAGTTTTATTAGAAGGAAGTTAAGTGTATTTCCTAAAGCAGTATTTTTTTCAGTTTTCTTTTAAGTATTTGTAAGCATTATAGAATAAATGTGTCTTTTCAGAAACGTGTTTTTAAGTACTATGGTAATTGGAGAATATCTTTAACTGGATCGTCTGGAATATGGCTGGATCAGTATAGTTGAAATTAGTTGTTATTTCAGTGTCAGTGAGATCTTGTGGCTCTGCATTTCTTTAGGGCTCCCCTTTGGCTCTTGTGGGCCCTTAGATGATGTGCACTGATCAAAAAGATAGTGGGTCAGTTGGCCAAAAGAAAAATCTCAGCTTACAGTGATAACATCTTTTTTAATTTTAAGTTACTGGGGCTTTTTAACAGCAGTTTCTTTTAACCTTTGCAGAATCAGGTAGCAAAACAGTAGCAGGGACCACCACAGCTGAAGAAGCTGCTAAAATCTTGGCAGAGAAACGACGTCTAGCACGGGAGCAAAGAGAGCGTGAAGACCAAGAAAGAATTCAGAGACAGGAAGAGGAAAGGTAACAATTCAGGAGAAGGGAGGGATGCTTCCAGTGGTGGGGTGTGATTGGAATGGACACTCCAGCTGTATATGTTTCCTAAGCTTTAATTTAAGTTCCTGTAAATCTTAATGCAGTTCCTGAAGCAGAGACAGACGTTAGCACCATTTGAGACAGGACAGGTTGCTGTGTGTATTGCTAATCTATATCTCAGTATATATGTACTGCATAGTCCCTGTGCAAATCACTGCTGCTTTTTTCTTCCAGTCACCAGTAGTGCTTTTATTTCAAAACCAGAATGTGCTTTTTACACCACTTATATTTGTTTTGTTTGTATTTGTCTTGAAATAGTCAACCTCTCTGTATTAAACTTTCCTTTGATGAACTCAGGCAGTGTTTTGATGATACATTAAATCTCATGTTAGTGATCTGAAATCTGGATCAGAAATGTTGCAGCCAAGTAATTCAAAGTGATAAATCAGTATACATTTGGTTCACTGTATAGAAGTTGTTAAAAATAAATTCTTAACTTTGCGCTGACTAACTTTATTCCAGATAAGGGATCACCTGTCTGTGCTTCTGTGAACATGATAGAACATCAGATTTTGTCTGTTTTCCAGTCACGGGTATAAAGCTGTCGTAAACTTTCATATAGTCTGCTATAGATGTTTTATCAGAAATATGTCATCAGATCTGTTGTGTATCTCTGCATGATCTAGCAGTGTACACCTCCAGTATATCTCTGGATTTCAGACTATAGAAGAAACAGTCTTTTAGGAAATCCAACTAAATTTATGTTTGACGGTAATTAAAAGCTTCATTTGTGTCGTGGATGCAGGTGGTATTTATTAAATAGTTGTCACTTAATCAAGTTCTCAGTTAAACTTTCCATTATTGGAGCAACCTGCCTTGACCTTGACTTAATCAGCAAAGAACATTTATGTGCTCATAGTGTCTTCCAAGTTACTCTGCTTTTTCCTTTGACTGGTCTGGATGGTGGCATTTGTAAATCCACACCAGAGAGTATCTTTACAGTTATTTTGTGATTGGATAACTTAGAACTTCCTTGCTTTCCTAGTCTGTCTCATGTGCATGCACACTTTAAAGAAATAAATATCCAGTCAGTAATCTGTATCTTGGAAACACTAGAATCAGAGAAGAAGAAACTGCCAAGAGAGCAACTGAGGAAAAAGCACTGCGGGAGGAGGAGCTCCGCAAGCAGGAAGAAGAAAAGAGACTGGCTTTTGAAGAACAACAAAGACAAGCTGAAGAGGAGAGGATCCGCCGAGAACAGGAAGAGCAGGAAAAACTTGCAGAGCTTCAACACCAGGTCTGCTTATCTGTAGGCTCCAGCTGTGTTCCTCATACAAGCTGCTGACGTGTTTTCGAGGGGGTTGTCTTTGATTTTCTTTCACAGAACAGTTTTGACACATCTCTGTCAGGAATGATGTAAAGCAGAGTTCATCCTGTCTGAGATGGATTTGAGAATGTCTTGAAGTCCTTTCCTTGCCCTAGTCTATGTGATTCCCGCCCCCCCCCC